AAACACTTCTTGTGTAAGTCACCACTTCCCAGGACCAACAAAACTCGAATAGTCTTTTTGTTTCCATCATTTCCTGAACTTGTTTCTAATCTGCAGAACAATTCCAGTTGTGATTGTCATACATATCCAATTGTTTATAGTCCCCGGTTGACCGATTAAAGTATTTGGTAATAGATAGCTCCCTTTGACAAAGATCATGAATATTACACTCTACTGCAAAACAATTCTACAATATTGTCACTGCTTGAGTAGGTATCACAGGTTGCTTCACAAATTTCTTGTGCGGTTAAATAAAGTAGAAAGTTTTCATCGATTTCTATGGTCATGGAATTAGTTAACCATGATATAAGCATATTATTGTATGTCATCTAAACTTTGTATTTAGGATCTTCAGTCCTTAGAACAAGAAAAATTCTCATGAGACGATCCTATTTTCCACGACCACGTATGAATAACATCACTGATTTGGGACCATTGAAGGAAGTTACTAGGTTTAATACTCTCATGATGAGATGATTGAACATAAGCCACAACTAAATCTTGAGTAGACAAAATTGAAGTTTGAGCAGCACCTGATGTTACCATGACCAAAGATGATAGTCTAGAAGTAGCCAAATCAAACAAACTGGTCTCGATTGCAGAATTTGAGAATTCGTTGCAACCAATTGAGGAGAACTAATTGATTGAAGGAAATCAGAGGGCAACGATGAGTAACATCAATCACCAATGGAGAAGCAATGATCAATTGAAAGAAATCAACGGGTAGAGATGGGTTAAAAGTACTTATAATGATTGGCAACAACAACTTGATTGATAATGGTCAAAAAAAAATTTTAGACGTTTGGGTTTGGTATCGCTGATACCATGTGCGATTTTTAGGAATGGGGCGATTCAAAGGAATCACCTTTTCCACTTAATTTCTTAAAGAGAATATAGTGTATATATAAATACACAAAGGAAACCTAATAAAATAAGGAAAAACTAAGAAAAGGAAGTAAACAAGAAAGGCTCTGCAACTATAACATATTTACATATTAACTCCTTATACTTCTATAGAATCTTTTAAATCACAATGGTCTTACGTTGGTTAGAAGCAGATTTTACAATTTTTTCAAAGGGTTAAAATAGACTTGACCCCGATTTCTCTCTTTGCAAATCTCATTCATAGAGACTACGCTCAGAAATATTCTGCAAATCGCTCTTACCCGTTGTTCCCACCCACATTGCCTTCATGGCCACCGCTAAAAATTGTGGAAATCGACCCATCAAGGTAATAATCATGGTTCAACACGGTAATAACAATTCCAAAGGTCATCGAGGCCAAGGCGTACATCACATAAACTATGTCCCAAGATGTCAATTGTGTGGCCACAATGGTCTCAATGGCAAGACTATGTCTTCGAACAATGTTCTGGTGTTGGTCACGCTAATATTGCCGAATCTTTTGACGCTTCTTGTTCAAATTTTGACTTTCTCGATTGGTTCATGGACTCCGGTGAGTTGGCACATATGACGCCAAAATTCATCGACGTCAAATACGCAACGCCATATCATGGTACTCACAATGTTATAGTTGGGAGCGGACACCCACTTCCAATTTCTCATAGTGGAAACCACCACATCACTCTTTTTATTCTTTTACGTGACACTTTAGTGGTTCCCCGTTTGACTCAGAACCTTCTCTCTATTAGTCACCCCGCACAAGATTTACCGGTTAATGTTATCTTGTATGATAATTCGTTTGTTATTCAAACACGGAAGAACGACACAATATTCATAACCAGGACGCATGACCACAATCTCTATCGACTTCACTACATCGACTGGGCTCTTTTATTATATCTTAGTCGAACAATGCTTATAGGATCTTTTCATTTGTGGAAATCAAGATTGGTACATGTTAATTATGAAGTAATCTCAATTCTAAATAAACAAGGCCATTTATCTGTACCTTCAATTTTGCCGATTCTTACAATATGTAAACCGCGTCAACTTGCGAAAAGCCGTAAACTCTCATTTCAACTAGATCATAAACGTGCTTCCAAACCCCTACACATCATACACTGTGATATTTGGGTACCCGCCCTCACCCCTCATTAGAAGGCTATCAATATTATAGTCTTCGTCTATGATTATTCCAGATTCATATGGCTTTTCCTGATGCACCTTAAATCACAAACTTTTGAAATTTTTTAACAATTTCAAAATTTTGTAACAACCCAACTTGAGAAACCCATTAAAACATTTCACATTGATAGAGGTGTAAAATTTACAAGTAATAGTTTTCAAAATAAATTATCAGCCAACGGCATCCTCCACTACCCCCAAAATGGTCGTGTAGAATGAAAACACCAAAACATCATGGAGACAGGACTATCCAAGCTCTTTTATTCCAAATTGCCTCTTAAATACTAGTCCATGGCTTTAACTTCAGCAGTTTACATCATCAACCAGCTACCCAATACTTAGGCATGGCAACAGGGCGGGGATGGGGCGAGTTTTGTAATCCCCAGCACCAACCTTGGTTTGTAGTAACATCTCCCTGGCCCTGGCCCCAGACCCTGGTGAGCACGGGGATTAACATCTCATTCCTGGTCAAACTTCTATCATCCTCAATCAAACCTCATAAAAAAGTATTTGTTAGTTTGATTCTAAATGGGATCCCCGACCCCGTCCCCGGTCTAAGTCTATCGAGGATCCTTGGGACCCGTTTTAGCAGGGATTCCCCATCCCCGTTCAGGTTGGGTGAACTGGGTTCCCCATCGGGTTGGAGCTAATCATCATCCCTACCACTACTATTTTGCAAAAGAAAACACCTTATGAGTTTCCCTTTAGCAACACTCCCAATTATGCACTTTCCTGGCCATATGTGTGTCGAGTGTTTCCTTGCCTATAGGATTATACCAAAAATATAATTGAAACTCAAACCCGTCCCTGGCTTCTTGGGATATAGCTCGAAATACAAGGGCCACATATGCCTCGACAACTCCACCTCTCACATTTATATCTCTTGATATGCCAAGTTTGATGAAAGAAACTTCCTATTCAACAACAACACTCAAGCTACCACACTCATGTCCTTGAACCACTCAACATATCTTGAACAATAGGATTGTTCATCCAAAGCCACCACCAACGTCACTAACCTGCTCTACAAACCATGCGAAACATGCATGTTCCCTATGCTTCTACGATAGGCCGATGTCAAACCTACAGCCCTCACCAGAGATCGCTTCTAACTCATAACCTTCTATCATCGTTGATCTGATCCCATCTACTACAACGCCCTCCACCATCGATCTAGATCCCCTACCACTTCCACAACCGGCGCACACCCTGCATTCCATGCAAACTTGTGCCAAGTCAAGAATCTTTAAATCACAGTACCCGAAATTTCTCTCTTAACACTCTGATGGACTCCTCCACGATCTTCTCGTCACTCTGTCCGTAAAGGCTACAAATCCGCTACCAAAAGACCCGACTGGATCACTGCCAATGATGAGAAGATTCATGCCCTTAAATAAAGAATACATGGGAACTACTACCATGCCCTCGAGATACAAATGTAGTTAGCTCGAAATGGGTATTACTATACAAAGTTTGTAGCAGATGGATCAGTAGAATGACATAAAGCTCGTCTAGTGAGAAACCGTTGATTGAAGTTAAACGAAGGAAATTAATGTTTGAAATCTTGAGTAAGGTGTTGATTATACCTAAAAATTGCAATCGTTTGTAACTTGAGACTTTGAGACTAAACAAGGGAAGAAGCCTCGGATTCATGACCAAATCGTGGATGTTTACTTAAAACTTAAAAGTGCATAATGAATTATTGGGCAATATTTATTAGTATTATGTATCGAACTCCAAACCTTTAAATTTATTAATGGACCATAGGTAAAATAGATTAAAAATGTTACATAGATTAATAATTATTCTATATATATATATATATATATATGTTATATATAAAATGAAAAACAAATGAAATATGTGGTGCGGTACATTTGAACAACGGTTTGATAACTCAAAACCACAAACCGCAATACATAGTGCGGTTTGGTAAAAACGCAAAGCGCAAACCATACCACAAAAGTTCTAAACCGTGTTTTGCCTTGTGTTGGGTGCAATGTGGGCGGTCTATGCGTTTATGCGGTTTGTCGGTTTAGATGAACACCCCTACCCTGTTCATCAGTCAAAATCCGGCAGCACATAAACGGGTCGACACATCGCCCTTGATTATCATTTCATTCGAGAGTTGTCCAACTCGGGCAACTCTTTATCAAGTTTGTTCCAAGCAAGTTAAATGTTGTTGATCTCTTCACCAAGAGTCTACCGAAGCCATTGTTTCTTCTTTTTCGGTCCAAGCATTATGTAGGCTAAAAACCGACGTCACACTGGGGGGCGGTAATAACAATTCAAATTAGTTAAGGATTAATGGTGAGAGAAGTATACGAATTATTTGTAGTTAGTTACAAACTCTTGGTTGTTATGTTGATTTAGAGTTAGATTCTAACCATAATTTGTAAATTCTCCTATAAACGAATGTAATTCAATCCCATAATTAGGTGAAACAATATTTACACAAACAACGGAATGATAATTATGAAATAAAATTGGAATTTTTTTAACTAATGAAGTTAATTTTGCATGTAGGGCTGTAAACGAACCGAACGAACACGAACAAAAGCTTGTTCATGTTCGTTCGTTTAACTTAACCGAACAAACACGAACGGTTAACGAACGAAAATCTTTGTGTTCGTGTTCGTTCGTTTAGAAATCAGGTGTGTTCGTGTTCGCTTATATTCGTTCGTTAACATGCTAAACGAACGTAAATGAACGAACATAAACGAACGGTCTAAACGAACATAATATTACCTCTGACCAAATTCCATCTGCTCCAACTAAGATATCACCTTCAAATCGTTGCCCATCATCAAGGGTTACCACAACCTACCAAAATTCATTACGTTGAGTTTGATACACGTTTAATTTTCATGGTAAACCAAGTAGTTTATGGTCCATAAGAAGCATTCTTTCCACATGCACGAAATAATTTTAAACCTAGGTTTTATCGTTACTAAACATGTCATTACAACATATTTGGGTTTATAGGATGACAAAAATGTCTCGATATACTGATTTATACGACTTAAATTTACATAATTAAATGATAAAATTGTCTTATCTCAGAGTGTTGCAACAAGTTTACGGGTCATTTTTGGACATCTTAACAAGATTTTTCATTAAAATAAAGCATCACATTAGTTTCTTTATACACTACAACAAATAGACCGTTTTTTATGACTTAATTTATATGACCAAAATATAAAATGTTTTATCTAAAGGTGGTGTAATAAGTTTATATGACGCTTTTGGGTGTCTTAACAAGTTATTGAGGACATTTTTAATACAAAATGTCGCATTAGCAACTTTATAGGACACTTTTGAGAAATTGTCCTGTAAACTCAATTTTTTATAGGACGCTTGTTTTTATAGAACATTTTTTCAAATAATTTTCTATAAAGTTGATAATGAGACGTTTTATATTAAAAGTGTCCTAAAAAACTTTTTACGACGTCAAAAAAATGTCATATAAACTTATAACAACACCTTTAGATAGGACACTTTATTTTTTTTGGTCCTATAAACTAAATCCTATAAAGAGATCTATTAAGACGCTTAGAATTTAGGAGTGTCCTATAAACCCAATTTTGTTGTAGTGATAGGACACTATTTGCAAAAATTGTTTTAGAAAAACACGTGCCCTATAGAAAGATATGTTTATGGAACATTTCTCAAAGTGTCCTATAAAATAACTAATACAACGCTTTATTTTAAAAATGCACTAAAAGACCTATTAAGACACCTGAACACATCCTATAGGCTTATCAGATGGCACTACAACAAAATCGGGTTTATAAGACACTCCCAATTTCTAAGCGTCCTAATAGACCTCTTTATAAGACTTAGTTTATAGAACCAAAAAAATAAAGCGTCCTAACTAAAGGCGTTGTAATAAGTTTATATGACATTTTTTGATGTTGTAATAAGTTTTTTAGGACATTTTTAATATAAAGCGTCTCATTAGCAACTTTATAGGACACTATTTGAAAAACTGTTCTATAAAAACAAATGTTCTATAAAAAATTGAGTTTATAGGACACTTTCTCAAAAGTGTCCTATAAAGTTGCTAATGTGACACTTTGTATTAAGAATGTCCTAAAAAACTTGTTAATACGCCCAAAAGCGTCATATAAACTTATTACAACATCATTAAATATGACACTTTATATTTTGGTCCTATAAATTATGTCCTATAAAGCAGGTCTACTGCGACGCTTAGAGAGTGAGGGTGTCCTATAAACCCAATTTTGTTATAGTATGGTATGATTTTATTGTTAATTTCTATAAACTTAAGACCTATACTGCGCTAAACAAACCCATATATAATCCAAACATGATATGACATTGAAACAAATGATTGAAGGGTGAAATGGACCTTATGAGTGTCTTGAGAGAAATCAACAACTTTAGATTTGTTAAGCACAATGTGATCTCCAACTGCATTCAATAAGATTTCTTGTAGTGCCATTCTGCTTATGATTACAGTCGTAGGAAGTCCATTGTTAATTGCTGGGGTCATTAGATCAAATTTTGCAATCCTGAGGAAACAACATTTATATCACATGTTATAAAACTGGATCTGGTTTCATTAAAATGATCGACTTTTTACTCTGCAAAAAAATCGATCTGAATCAACTGAATTAAGAACGATGACCCGTTATTAAGGTAAAAACCATGACTTGTGGCACGCACTACAAAAAGCAGGTTAATGTATTCAGACGCTTAGTTATCCTGATGAAAAATTTAATGATACTATAAATGTATGTTTTCAATAAATGTGTTGAGATAGTTGTTATGATGAGCTGAAACAAGCCATTGAGGGATATATATATATATGAAAAAAATAAGTTGTAAGGACGTGGTTGGCAAGTCTAAGGGGCCGTTTACTAAGCACTTATTTGGTAAGTGTTTATCGGATAAATTTTCTCATCGGATGAACATGAGAAGAGCAAGAATCTTATCGGGTAAGAGCGACGAGAAGGATGAAGAGTCGGTAAGTTAGGATAACGAATCTTGCCCAGGTCAGTAATTGTTGCATTCTGTATGTTTTGATGCAATAATCTTATGCGTCAAAATAAATTATAGTGTTGACTCCTATCGATAAACGTTTATTGGATAAGCATTTGAGTAAACAGCCCTTAAATTAGATCTGATATTAACTTATTTTCATAACATTTATGGAAAAAGCATTATGTGATGTTTCTATAAGCATTTATCAAAAAGCATCGTATAAAAAATAATGAGGAAATTTTACTTAGATTGTCGTATTAAAAACTTATTTTTTTTTCCATTAAGATATTAGTTTTAGGTTCACTATAGGTGGGTTTGGTGTGCGGACAGGATGAGGCGGGATAAAAAATATTAGTTTTTGGATGCAAATATACTAGTCGCATATGTATTTATGTGTTAAAAAGTGGTTTTATGTATGATCACATGTGATCATGTATGATATCATATACACAATTATATCTGATCTTGTATAGGATACACACAAACATATATGTTATACACAATCACATGTGATCAAGTACAATATCATATATGAGTAACAAATATTATCGGCCAACGAAAAATAGATTGTTATGTGTTTCGATTTTAAAATACATAAATATAATATTGTTCATTATTAACATATATTATTGATGATTTAATAGGAAATATATAAATATAATATTGAATATTTATTTTTATTTTTATTGCCATAAAATAATTAAATCAAGAAATATATAAATTTATAAAGAAAGGGGTTCATACGAGAATGATATTTATTTAAGAAAATAAAAGAATGGTTAAATTATGTACAAAATCATGTGATTTTACATTAAAGGCAAAAAAAATGTGTGAGTGACCCTATGGTCACGTGGGTGAGATCATGTGAATTACATGTGATTTTGTATGTGATGTTAGTGTAAATTCACATGTGATTCGGTTATTCTCTTATTTTCTTAAATAGATATCATTCTCGTATGAACCAGACACTATATATATAACACATTTCAAATACAAACTATCATATTTATACAATCAATACAATCCTGATTTAAACCTTCCATTTTATTTTGTTCTATTTTTTAGTTTATAATTGATAATTTGTAACTACCTTTTCCACCTCATCCAATGTTGACCATATATGAACTAATTGATGGTTAAGGGGTTCTTTGTTTATTTTTTTAATAGTTCCATTAAGAGGCACTCTTAATTGTTAAGAGTTGAATCTTGTGTGGCAAAAAAAGTCGGCTTCTTAATGGTTATAAAACCTTTTGAATGATTTTGTATCATGTGTCTCCCTTAATCAGTAAGCGCCCTAGTTTCATTGTAAATAATTACCAAACAATTATATTTAATTTTGCACTAAATCATTAAAGTCTTTTAATCATTCTGCATCGAACTATTCAGCAACTGCCAAATAGCCTCTAAGATATGGTTGTATTGGTTGTACAAATGAAATAAGCTACAAATAAACCACCTATATATATATATATGTGTGTGTGTGTGTGTGTGTGTGTGTGGGTAAAATACAAATCAAATGCAACCTTTTCAAATGTTGCAATAAATGCAACTCAATGAAGTTTAATCGTAACTGTAAATCGTCCTCCTTTTATGAGTGTTTTGTTTTTAGTTCTTTGAAAATTGCCACCGCCTTATCCCCAACTACAATCGCCCTATCCCCAACCGCAACTGCCCTACCCCAACCGTTGATTGTTTAATTGTGTGGTATAGATGAAGTTGCATTGGTTGCAACATTTAAGAGGGTTGCATTATAGAGGGCTATCCCCAACATCTATGAACCATTGGTATTTTCTGGGTGATCCATCGTTAATCACCGACGAAAATTTCCCTGGATGATTTTTGTAGGTAAAAGTCATTTGTTTTGTAGTGAAATATTTTGAATTTATATTTTTTAAACATTTTTATTGCAGGTTTTGTATATTTAAAATAAGAAAATACCAATATTTGAATTGTTATTCTGAAAATAAAATTACAATTACCGACGGATCACCAAAGAATATGCCATTACAAAATGTGAGAAAATCCTTCAACAATCTAGCGTTGATACTTGCTTTGAAAACCTTCGGTAAAAATTTCCTTAGGAAATACTTCGGTGATGGAATTATTTGGAATTATGTCGGTGATGGGATCCTTCGGAATTCTGATAGTGACGAGGTCCACCAGAAATCTTTAAGGAATAACCTTAAATGAGATTTAAATTAAGTTTTAACTTAGTGACATATCAAAGAATAAATGGTCTCGTATTTATTAAAAAAGTAATCGATTTAATTAAATTTTTATTTATAATTATAAAATTGTTTTTAAATTAGTGATCTTATCATTTTTAATGTACTTATTTAGGTTGTGTTTGATAAACTAATTGTTAACTGATAAACTATTAGTTAACTGATCAACATATCATGTATGATAAAAACTAGTTAATAAAACTAATTAAAAATCTAAAATTACCAAAAAGTGCATGATAAAAAGTTAATCAATTATAACATTAAATAATATAATTAAAATCAAATATTAATAATATAATACCTTAATCAACATATATCAGGTAGAAATAAATAAATAATATAATATGTTAATTAATATAACTTCAATTTGATTATTATAATATATATATATATATATATATATCGTAAATTTTATATGTCCATGTTACATATCAACCAGTGATATTGCTAAAGAGTATATAAATTTATAGGATTGAACATGAAAAATACATATGTTTTATTTAGCTCTTTAGATAATATGAAACCGTATAATATCACATGTTTAAAACGTTAAATATTATTTTTTAATTCTAATATAATAATAAAATTACATGTTAAATATGTAATTATAATAATTATAAGGTTTTAAATGTAAACTTTTTTATGTAAAAAATATTATAGGCAAGCATTCATTCATCTCTCCCTGACTTATCGTCCACCACATCGAAAAGAGAAAAGTGAAGGTGGTGTTTGTTTTTTAAGAAACTAGAAGAGTACTCGCGCAATGCAGCGAGATACATCGTGTTTTAATATTTCATTTTATTCTTTATCTCAGTCGATGTTATAATAT